ATCTGAGCAAGAAGTGCCTGGTAAAAACAGACCCATTTACCACTGCAACTGTATCAAACCTTCTACAAAAAGTCACTTTGAGGTCACTGTTTTTGTCCAGTATTTCAATACATTAAATGCAATTACTTCATTGTTGATTTACCTGTCATTAGAGGCATGTGTTTGAACATGATTTATTGAGTGAGTTTTGTGCCAGTTGACTTGCAATAGATTGCACAATATTCAAAAAGGCTCATTTGCTTGGCATTACATTAGAAGCAGGGTGATTGCAACACAAAGCAATGTAAATGAGTTCTGAGAGGCTCCATCATTCATGTTGTCATGTACTGAATCCTATTATTATTTATTACCATAATTGTACTGTGTTTCCTGGGGCGATAAATTAGGACTGATGGGTCCCGCTGACAGCCAAGGACTGGACTCGCTCTATATAATTTAATAGGGATACTGTTGGATCTCTGCTTGGAGGAGACTTAGGGAGGAATTTAGGAACTAAGCAAAATCTTTCCTTAAAAAAAAAGAATTAAAAATAAAATAAAAGCAGTGAGGGTTCCCCCCCTCCCCCTTTTCCCTTGGCAGCAATTTAAGTCTTGATAAAAGCTGCAAAGGAAATGGGAGCACTCTGTCTTTCATAATAGGATTGTTAAAAAAAATCACTGCCCTGTGTCACAATCTGTTTTATGCTCCCCGCTGACAGGCAGCCTTGCCACGGCTGGGAACAGAGGGACAGAGGATGACTTAAAGGAATAGCAGTGACAGCTTCTGACCTCCAGCATCCCAGCTCAAATCCAAGCCAGGGCTGCAAGTTAACAGTTGCTCCTTGCTGATGGCTGTGGGGAATGAGTGAGGTTACCCCTGCCTCGCACACATGAGCAGCCACAAAATGTCATCAACCCCAGCTTCCCGAGGTCTCACTAAAGGGGTTGCTGACCAGGCTGACAGACCTCACTTGGCACCGAGGGCCTCCCCCAAAGCTCAGCATGTTCTTCTGAAGACCAACACCTCTGACTTGTGCCCCTCTAGCCCTGGTTCCAATGCACTTTCCAGCAGTCGACGTGGAAGTTTCCATATCTCAGATCCTGGGGATGTTTTAGGCCTAACTTTGATCCCCACCTCCTGCCTGAAGCTGCTTCTTTCTTCTGACCACTTCTCCCCGTGCAGGTGAATTCTCAAGCCCTGAGGGGCCACTGCAGGACTCCACAACAGCTTCCAGAGAGCAAACACAGCACAAAGGTTTGTTCTCCTTGACAGCATCAAGCGTATTTTGCAGCCACTACCTGTTGAAACCAAGCAGTTTGCTCCTCCTGACTTGAGGGTGAGAAATACCAGGTAAGTCACAAAGCTTACCTCTTAATGCAGCCAGCAGAAGTTTTCCAGGTGGGACAACTACAGTGCCAAGAGCAAAGCCAGGACAGGGTTAGTCTGGGTTTGCTGGGTCTTAGTGGAGCCATTCAGCTGTTCTATTCCTGGCCCAGCTGGGACACACCTTCCTGTTACTCAATGAAAAACCAAACACTCCTATGTAAGCTGCTGATGAATGAGAACTGTGACCTTTCCCTCTTCTATTTGAGCTTGGAATCAGAAAATAACAGTAAAACCAAGGCAAGGTTTTTTTTCCCCATCTCATATGCCACAGGACTGGATTTCAAAGCACGCAGGATGCACCGTCATGGCAAGATTCTCACTAGTGCTCAATTCACTGCCAGTTAAGCATGGCCAGTGTCTTGTTTGCTCTGTGAACAGGTTAATCTGTAAACCAGAAACTCTTCTTAGGGGTTCTTTGGATCTTTAGTTCTGTTCAGTTAATGACCAAGTTAACACAAAGAGTTAACTCACAAAGTGTCTTTCTGCCATGATAAACCCCTTAGTCATGCTTTGTTCTTAAAGATGGGAAAGATGACAGCAAAGGATTTCTGGCCTTGAACTGGAGCTTGGAGTGTTGCTTCTGGAAAGCGATCAAACCTTTCTGTGCCAGGGTCATTCCTCAGCTACAGAAATACTTATTCACATTATAGGATTGTTATTGATATTCATTAGCCAAATTAGGAAATTAGGGCCAAGAAGACAAAAGTGCTGTATTAGCATTGCTCTTGTTTCTACTGAACGCATCCTTGCTTAAACCAACGAGAACAAACTGCATAAACCACTGCAGCAATGTTCTACCCTTAGAACTAAGGGACAAAGTCCCAGCTGCTGAAGATACAGAGTCAGCATGAGCAGCTGAATCATTAGAACGAAGCCAAAGCTTGCACTTCCAGAACACAACCCTTGAGAAGGACTGCAAGAGCGCTGGCTGCACAGCTACATAAAGGATTATATGAGCAGGAGAGGGGCAACAGGGAAAGCACATCTCAGGTTCTGCTACCCAGGTTAAGATTCAAGCACAGAATTCTTCTTCCCATGCTTTAAAAACCATGAACAATCTTTGTACTCACTTCTTGTAAAGAGATTCAGAGCTGCAGAACCTCAGGGCTGTTGGACTAGAACAGGTTAATGGTCCCTGCAGTCCCGTATGTTGTATTTGTGAGCAACCAAGTGTCCATAAATCCTCCAAGTGGACAACTTTATGGAATAATCAACACATCAGGGATATTTCCTTCTAACATACCCTGAGTTCGTGACTGGCTTAAGCCCTGAGGCATGAGAGCTTATTGACTGGATCCATCTCCCGTTCAAGTCAATAGATATCTGTCAATTCAGGTCAATTCAAAAGAGATTTTATTGACAGGAGAAGCTCACAAAATGCTGCCAAAGTGTGAGAAAATGACAGCACCCCCCTACCTTCCTTGAGCCATCTGTCAGAGACAGATACAACCTGCACTGCATTTACAGACTTACTCCCAGCTCCATCGAATAGAAATTGTCCTTGATTTAGCTTCATTGACTTAATTGAGCTGAGCTATGCTGAGTATAAACAAGATCCATCCTGCTTCTCTATGGACACCATCAGAAGTAGCGTGAGTGCATTAAAAGGCTGAGGTTGTAAACCCATACATAATCATGTTAAAAATAGGGCAAGGCTGCTATCCTGCTGACACAGATCCCCAAGCAGGGGCCGCAGAGCAGAGCAATGCAGCAGAGCCTGCACCTACAGCTGCTGGCCTATTCCTGTCCCTCTTTCCCCCTCCCTGCCGACTGCTGCTGGGATTCTCTCTACCCCACACAGACATATGAAACTTGTCACTCAGACATCAAAGGCGCTTTCCACTCACCCTTCCTCAGCAGTGACACATTTTTGGCCCAGCACATCACATTAATAGAACTTGCTGTCAAACAAGGCAGCTTTCAGACAATGGAAGGATTGTGCGCTGTGCGGCATGGCTGATGGGCAGATCACCAGGTAATGTGATGCAAGAGCTACAAAATACCTCAAAGACACCAGTGAGAAACACAGACCCCAGTTCTGAAGAGAGACTTGTGGTTTGTGGAGGTTATTTTGCCTGTGTAAATGTTGGAACAGACCCTGGCATGGGCCTTGATTGGGTTTCTAAACCCAGCCTTAGTTTAACATGCACATTCCCTTGCACAGTGCAGTGTTTCCTTGACGTCTCCAGTGCCTCCTTCCCTAGCACATGCTCCCCATCCTTCATTTCCTAACTTGAAATGAATTATGGGCTGAGCTCATCCAGGCTCACAGAATCACTGAAAGCATTTCAGACACACCATGCTGCACTGCAACTCGTGCAGAAGCCATCTGCAGCTCACGAGCACTTCTTACCATAAACCAGAAAAGGCTCTGCTTTGCATCACACTCTTCATAGAATCACAAAACAGTTTGGGTTGGAAGGGACCTTCAAAGGTCGTCCAGGTCCAACCTCCCTGCAATGAGCAGGGACATCTTCAACTAGATGAGGCTGCCCAGAACCATGTTGTAGTTGAGACCCAGAAGGAGGAACAGGGACAACTGGGACAACTGTGCTTTGCAGGGTGACTCAGGGCACACGTGAATCAGCCATCCATGGGGATGTGCCCCAGGGACCTTTCCCAGTAGAAGCCTCCAGTGCTCTAGATGATGATTAATGAGAACCTGTGATTGGAGTTTAGTAATTGTGAAATCACTGGTAATCTAACCAATACCAAGAAATAGCAAACTTTACTGCCTGGACCTCAGCCATCATGTCAGGCTGGGATTTGCTGCACACCTTGAAAGGACGAAGCATAACCCATTCCTCCTCCTCCTGCACCAAGGGAGAACCCTGCACTACTCAGTTTATGTTCTAGTAAAGACGACAGGGGTAGGTCAGAGCAATTGAAACCACCTTTGGAATTCAGTGGTGCAGGCCACTGAACATCCATTAGCTACTAAAGGGATTCTGGCCCTCACTGACCTGGCCTGGATTGAAATCAGTGACCTTGCGATCAGGCTGCACACCCCATTAGCCACCTTGGCCGCCTCCTGAAGGGGTGTTCTGTGCAGCTTTGGTAATCTGTACGTCCTTCCACACATCTCAGGAATGTAACTGGGATACAGAGTACATCTGACTGGAGAGATGAAGATATTAAGCATGTGTCTTTGTCAGTTATGGCTATTATCATTAGCAGACTAGCTACTATTCCCTATATATCCCGTTTAGAACCGTTTACAGCTGAAACATTTTTAATGGCTCGATGAATATGAATGCAACATTTATAACCATTTACACGTATGAGACTTTGGGGCACATCCATCTTTCACTGCAGGCACGTAACCTCCCATTACCACACTGTCACGCTGAAGAGTGAGTGGGGAGAAGAGGACCCCACTTCGCAGTGAAAGATGAGGACATTATTTCTGCCTGTTTGGTAAAACACATGTTCAGAAATCTCCCTTGTTGTCATCCCAGACTTCTCTCCCCAGTCAAGCACTTATTTAGGCTCTTTATACTTTCATTAACAAGGGGAAAATGCAGGCCGTTACATCTGTTAGCAGACATAATTTTAGACAAATACAACTTCTTATCAAATAAGCCTGCAATAAATGTTTCATGAACAGAACCCTTCAATAGAACTCCCAACACTAATTTAATGAGAAGTATCAAATGAATTTTTTTTTATTCTCATATCTCCCCTGAGACAAATGATACTTTGCAGGCCTATTTTTAACAAATGAATTATTGACTTAAACTGGCACAATTAATCACAATATAATGGGATCAGGGGATGTTAGAGGCTCATTCAGCACGGCAGATGATGAGTACTGACTCTTCCAAGAAATGAGGCTCTTTAATCATTCCCAGATTAACAGCTACATGCTTTCAAATTTCAATCATAGGGAACTGGCAGCGTGGAATGAAAAGGGCCCACTCCAGCAAGACAGAAGCAAGCAGGAGGATTTCTTACCCTCGTTGTCTAAGAAACAGGCACTCACTTCCCTTGGGAAGGGACAGCATCTAAGTCACGCTGCATTTCCAAGAGTTCTTCCTTGCAGTGTTTATCAGGGTAGAATTTGCTTTCAGGAGGACAGAGGATGCTCACAACTCATTGGGCTGTTTGACACCTGCCCCCAGGGGAAAATGTTCAGGACTTAAGACAAAAAGCCTCTTAGCTAATCCTCTCTTTATCAGGATAACTCTTCTCCCATGTTTTTACACCTTCCTGCTAAAGGTGCTACCACGCTGCATGTCATGAATACTAACAGTGCTGGTTTGGGGTTATTATTGTTTCTTACTGTCTTTGGTCAGCTTCACAGGCTTATAAAGACATTTCTATGAATTACAAGGTGCTCCCCCCTCCAGAACTGGGTTTTTCATGCCTGCAGTCCTGCATCCAAGAGCATCCGAACTCTGCAGCAGATCTGAAACTAAGGATCCATCCCAGCTATTTAATGGAGGCCTTAGGTGCTAACACAGTACTTTGGATGCTAGATTCAGCACAGAGTCTGTCACCTCTAGTGATGCTGAGGACCCTTCTACAATGCAGAGTATTCCTCAAAGGCTAGGGGCCCATTCTTCCCTAGCCCAGAGCATGAAGCTTTCTGTGCTCCTTCCGAGGAAACCCCAGATGAGCACAGAGGAGAGCAGATCCCCTCAGACACCTCTGCAGCTCCTCCCAACGTCAACAATACACAACCCCAAATGCAGTAAGACCTTGGAGCAAAGAGCTCTTGGAACAGCCTTAGTATTGCCCAACCCAAGCACATAAGAACAAGCTTGGGTCTGGATCCCCTACAGGGCTTACAACACCTTGTGGGAAGTGCCAGGTAATCCTACTGAAGCATATGCAGAAGGGGCTTGAGTGTTTTGTGCCCCTGTTTGGGACCCCAGTGGACAATGTGCTGCTGATTTATCGCCTTGGCTGGACTCTGAACTCACAACTGCAGATGCAGAGAGCAGTGAGAGCATTCCTCGCACCGGGGATTTGATCCAACTGTCTTCCCATGATTGGGACTGGAAATTCCTTGAGCTCCCCAGCCTGCGTTTGACTCAATTAAAGAGTAATTCAGAGGCTTTTGTGGCAAACAACAAAATAATGAGAGCACAGATTAACTTTTAAAGTTAGGAATGGCAAAGGAAATGAAACTAAATTAACATCAAGGCAAAGTGAACGCACACGGAAACTACAGGGAAAGTCAAATCCTACGTCTGCTTTCCTTTGCTAGTCTGGAGCTCAGGGGTCTGCCTTTTCTCAGCAGCACTTAGTGACATCTCAGACACCTCGAGAGGAGCTTTTTCCTTCAGCCTGTGCTGCCTGAGGTGCCTGTAATACCCTGGAATTCTCAATTTGCCAAGAGATTTGGCAAATAAATCCCGGGTGAAGAAATCCCCAGCGGCTGAGATTCCAAACTCAAATGCATTTTGCACTTTCAAAATCAGCCCCTTTCTAAACAGGAGACAGGAGGTGGTTCCCAGGGTGGACCATGTGCATCATCTGGCCTTGACAATGTCCTGCATCAAACACACCTTGCAAAAGAGCTGAAGAAACTTCATAGCAGGATGTCCAGGAAACAAAAGGAACTGCACAAACTGAGACCCACACAAGCCACATCTCTTCCTGCCCACTTAAGCAAATGCAAACCCCAAAGCATGTGGTTCAGCATCCTTCAGTACTCACTTGATTACTGTTTAGGGTTATTCCCCACACACAATATCATCGACAGAAACACATCCTCCCTCAGATTCATGTGCCAAAACCCTAACTGAAGTCACTGTCCAGAGCTGGATTCCACTGACACTGACCCCAACACTGATATCTGTGATAAGGACCATCAGAAAGTCTGACTTTGCAGGTTGAGATCCAGTGTTGGAGCTGGCAGCAGGAAGAAACCCTGAAGATGGTTTTCCCTCTCCACAGGAGCCCTTTGCTCCCTCTACAACAAAATACATACAGTATTCCAAGGCTGCTTCCTAAGGAGATCTTCCAGCAGTCTTTGCCTACTTGATGTACAACATCAGACTTCCAAACCAACCAAACCAGGACCCGACACTACTAACACCATGATGCATTTTAAACTGTCAATACACTAAAAAATAGCCCTTTTCCTTCAACTTCAGAGTGTGTTCATCTCCACCAGGATTTCAGTGCACAAGCAGCACCCACGTTATTCTCCTGGTCTATAACCACATCCCCACATTTTGGCAGGGAGAGGATAGTTTTCTGTCCACTTCAGCCTGTTTCTGGTGGAAGCTGATTAAGAGAGCTCCTCAAAACAGGTTTGCTGTGTTCACCTCCTGGCTTTTACAGCTGCACATCCTCAAGCACTGAGGAAACACTGCAGCTTCCATTACCCCTAAAGTCACACCGAAAGAGGGAACAGCTATTTGCAATGGAAAAGCAATAGGAAAGAGACTGGGGAGGTGGCAGATGGACCAGGCTGTGCCAGACTTTCTCAACATGTCTCACTGTCTGCAAGGCAGAGTGCAGAGATGGGAAGCAGCAAGTGAAACACGTTTGGGCTTCCACACACCTCAGTGTGTGCAGGGCCACTCTGAGGAACAGGGCCAGCTCCTGGGTCTCCAGTGGAGGTCTGGTAGCCAAAACCCATTCTCTACTTTAATTTATAGGCCTGTCAGAGAGTTAGAATTGATTGGGAAGAGGTCTTGTTTTACCTATGGTGGGAGGAAATCAAGTGATGTTAGCAGCAATGCTGGGCACATTATCATCTGCTGGTTCCATTTAACAACTTCTCACAACATATGCAGTTTACATTATGGTATCCTGCACATGTAGTCTTTGGCTGAAAATATCCTCCAGAGCTCTGAATTTATGGTCATGCAAATACTCTGAGAGGCAAGAAACAGGCATGCCAAAGAATGAAAAAGGAAAGCCTTCTTTGTTTCTGCTTCTAGGCCACGTTAACTCCAACCCTACCATGCTGCAACGCAACAAGGGATGCTGGTGTTTCAACCACACACCCTCATCTTTTGCTATGGCAACTCCTCAAATACCATCATCTTGCACAGATTTACTTGGCTTTCATGGGCAGCTGGAGCTGGGCCTCTGAGAAAAGATCTGCTTTCAGCCAAGCTGTCTTTTTCTCTCTCTGCAGGCCTGGCATGACAAGAGGCCTCATTCTGCCATCATTCCTACCAGCTCTGCATCCCTTGCGGAGTCTCCTGAACCCCAGCAGCACCAGCACAGACCACTGCCGTGGTCAAACCTACACAAGCACAGCCTAAGGAGCTTTGTTTCTCATCACTGCTGGCCTTTTTGCTATGCTTTTTCCCTTGACATAAAAGTTCAGTGTGACGCAAGAAGAGGGCTGAACAGAATCGCTTTGCCCATCCTTTCAGTGTAACTAACCTCACTTTGCAGCTGTCAGAGATACCAGCTTCAACCCCACAGTCACTACAGATGCATGGTGAGGATCCTGAGCTCATCCCTTCCTGCCCAGTTCATTAGCTTGGGCCCAATTAGGCTGATTCTGGACTTGTGTCCCCAACCCAGCTTTGGTGCCTTTGCATGGCATCAGCCGGCGGCTGTGGTGTTTGTCACAGTGGAATTGCAGGCTTAATAAAGGGAAAGAAAAACAAAAGGCCGTTGTTCCAAGACCTCCGTTTCACTTTAGGGCACAAACAATATATACCCAAGCAATGCAGCAATCTGTCACCTGTCAGCTCCTGGCAACAGCTTTGTGGGAAATTCATTTTCAAGTGCAGTTTCAGTAGCCCGTTCGTGTGAGGCTGTGGAACAGCGGGAATGGCTCGAACGGGAAGCGCACCCCTGGGTGTCCTTACTGGGTGCTTTCCATTGCAAAGATGCAGCCCACTGCAAAGGGAAAATGCATCTAAGAAATCTTACCTGCTTTGGAATTTCCTCCTATGCTGGGCTGTGATTGCCAGTTCATGGAGATGAATCTATCATCTATCTAGAGTCATGGATTTAGGATGAGGAATCTCATTTTGCACCCAAAGATCAACCCTCTGTTCTGAGGAGTGGCCACTTGGAACAGGAAGGTTAAAGCAGCAAAAGGCAACCAGGATTTACTAGGGGAACCATATCAATGACAGCATTTGTCACCAACAGAATGGTTTTCCCTGCAGGTCCAGTGTCCCTCTACCTTTAACAGTGGCCACGGAGCCCTCAGCAGGGCTCTGTCCTGCCTGTACCACAGAACAAGCACAGCAAACAGCTATTCCCAGCCCTGACTAACCCACACCATAAATCAGAGCGTCCCTCTTGGCCACACACATGTTAACTACAGCACAGTGTGGTCACAACTACTGTACAGGGCTGTTTTTTGATGGACTCAATTACTCTTAATTTATACAGGGCAGAGCTGCACGCAGTATGAAGTACTTTGCATTGTCATTTTAATGTCATGCTTAATACACATTTTTAGAGCCCTGGTCATTAACTACATGAGAGATTTGAGCTCTGGATTTACTATACTGTGCTCCAAGGCTTCACTTGGCTTTTGGAGGACGTTGCAGCACTCTGCTCAGTGCTGCCTCTCGTACATGTACTCTCTGTAGATGGGATTATCCCATTTCTCAGTTCTGAGATCAGCAGGGATCAGCAGCACACCTCAAGGGGTGACACAGGGTTTGCTTTGAAAGAGAGATTCTCAGGTTCAAGCGTTCAGTCAATACCCATCAGTGTGCTAAGAAATGCAAGCAGGTTTGTGCTTCCTGGGGAGGTTTACTATTGCAACAGCTCACAGATGGAATCTGTTTGTGAGAGAAAGATGGTCGAGATTGTTCCTACATGGATTAAAATGACCCACATTCCTTCTTCCCCCTTGGTTTTTTACCAAGCTGATTCACCCCCTGCACGCTATCACTGCACGCTCGTGTCTTCATCAGAAACATTAATAAAATATTCACTTGCTTGTTTACCAAAATGCCTTTTATGGAGATGAAATATTCCGAGGAGCTGCTCATTTATGTTTTTCACTGAGCAATAGATTAAAAAACCCCAAACATCATTTGTGCTGCTGAAACTTAAACTATACTGACAGCAGCAACTTGTTCTGTGAAACTGAGGGGAAAAAAAAGGCAGCAACTCTTCTAAATTCCACTATTTAATGTTTTCTTTATAACAGCCTCATTCTGCGTTTGCTCACTGCTGAACACTATGGCCTTGGTACCATCTGAGGTATGATACCATAGAAATGTAGATATAAATGAAGATGCTAAATGGTGATTGCCAGTTGCCTGAACCATCACCCTAAACAGGCCATTTAGGGCAAATTCCATACAACCCATCAACACAATCCTTGTCCTTTCAAAGGTCTTGTGTACAGGGTACCTTGAGGGAAGTGGAGACAAACGGCACCAGAGTATGCAGTTACTGTGCATACATCAAACTCTGTGCTTAGATGAAAGTGCAGCAAACTCCAGACACGTTATTCTGAAGCACAGCAATAACATGGGGGTTTGAGAGCCTCTGACTTCTGTTTGAGGTGGTGTACAATAAGTTACTCCTCATATAGCCTGCCCTGAGCATACTTCAGAGGTTATGGGTTGTGTGACCTGTTGCTACACACCTGAGTCACTGTAACATTGCTCACTACCTAGGCTTTCCACAAAGCACATCTTTTCCACCACTCTTTTCTGGTGATACTATATAGGACAGGGAAAGTTTTGCTGCAGCAACTGCAATTACTGGTGGTGTTTATCTTCTGATTACCTATGAGAACACAGCAACAGACCAACTGAGCAAACAAAGCCCCCCTTCCTCTGCCCCTTCTCCTCCAAACAACCCAGTGTAAGCGAGGGGACCGCACTTACCAGGCACAGGCTGGCTTCTACAAACATACATGGAAAAACCTAGGGAGAAATCACACTTCTCCTGATTGACACCTGCCACTGTGATCAATAAGGGCAATGAAAACAGCTGAGATCACTGCTCAAGCTGCTGTTACACAGTTCTGGCAAACAAAGGCAAATCTCCATTACCAGTAGTGAGTGATCCAGCATTGTCCCCTGCTCATCACCACCCGTGTCCTTCCCAGGCACTGGTTGTGCCTCCAGGGAAGCTGCCTGGGACTGAAAGGGGACAGAGCAAAGAGCCAGGCCTCGGGGACTCGAATCCATCCACAAGCAGGTGTTAAGTGAATTCCTCCAAAAGGACACGAGTCGCTCTTTCGCTGGCTTTGGGATGAATTAACATGAATTCATAATCCATAAATCCTGGTGGCAGCAGAACAGCATCCCTCCTGTTGTTATTTATTTTGAGATTTTCACTGGGGCAATAGCTTTACGTTTGACATTTATATAGGTCACAGTGAGCTAATAGCCATCTGCCATCTGGGGACTTTTATAATGAACATTGCAGAAGACTATGAAACAATCTCTGGCATTTCCGAGTCGAACATAAGCTGAAATAGGGTTGATCTTTACAATATGCTCTGCTGTCTCTCTTCAGGTTTGCATTAGTCATTTGCCTGGCCTTGCTACACACACACACACACTTGCACATATGGGAAGTGGTGGGCTTCAGCATTTAATACTACCAGTTAATCAGCACACGCATGAAAAACACCCAGTACCTTGCATGGCTATAAAAGACCCCCAATTCACCTGAAAAATCTTCATACATTTACCAAATACTAATGACTCCCCAGGCCCCCTCCCCTGCAGCACAGGAGACAGCTCTAATGCTGGCTGAGCTGCAGTACACAGATGTGAAATGGCTCCTGCAAGGTCACACAGACTTCCCTTAGCATAACCCCACTGTCCTCATCACCCAAATACATACCAGGCTGAACAAAGGCATGCAGGAACATGCAGAGGCCCCAGCAAAGCTACCACTGCATGGCAGATGACACCACTCCATCTCACCCTTGAACCACAGCAGCTGCCTGCACCAAGCCTATTTATCAGCACTCAGCCAAGTGCCCCATGATTGAAAGCAGCTGAGCCAGGGGAGGGCTGGGGCAGGTTATGGGTCATGTCCTCACCTCCACAAGCAGCACAGATCCTGTGAGGGACATTAAATGCCACTGAAGTCTCCATAGTGTCACCTCGTGATGGTCTGCACCTACACCAGAAGCACTGCTGATGCAGCAGGTTCCCCTCTGGCTGGCTGCAGGGAGGTGATGGAACCCCACTTCTATCCCCCAGTGATGTAAGAGTGCCCAAGGGCATAACCTGCAGCTCCTGCCTCCTCCTCCTGCACTCAGGGATGATCCATACAGGAACACCTCGTCTTTCCTAGCACCTGGGTGCACCGTGGTACTCTCATCACCTCTTGCAGATGGGGAATTGATAGAGGCAAAGATGAAGTGACTTTGCTGAGTTGTGTAAGGCACCTAGCAGAGCTGTGAGTGAACCCAGGTGTCCCGAGTTTCAGGTCAGCACTTTAACTGCGAGGCTGCCCCTTCTCCCAGCACCTACATGCTATTTATGTTACCATACACACGTGAGAAAGGACTGAATGTGCTCAGACAGATGAGAATATCCCATCTCAATTAGTCACTCTCCAAAAAGCCTCCTAGGGGGCCAGGCCTCCTTAATGCTGCATGTTCCTCCTGAGTTCCCCAAGCCTCAGCAGGCCTCAGGGTAATAAATTACATTTGTCTGTGCCTTAGCAGCAGCAGCCTGGCTGAATCCTTTCCGTGACTCAACTCGTGATGAAATGCCTGTTTCCTGGTGCTGAGATCTGTGCAGATTGCTCTCTTCAGCCTCCCTCGTGAGGGACGTGCCTCAGCGAGGCGGCTGGGGGCATCTGTGAGCTCCTGTCCCATCCCTCTGCTCCCCCCTTCAGACGCCTGGTCCTGGGGTGTCACTTGTTTGTATTATGTCTTTGGAGGGTGACACACAGAACACGTTTGAAATCCAATCCCCTCTCATAGGGCTGGGAAATGGGAGATGCCTGAGCGCTGACCTGGTCCTGCAGGGACTCGGGTTACACAAAGCACTGTGCTGGCTCTGAGAAGCAGAAATCTCGTAGGCTTGCACAATTCAGCAGGTGACAGCTTCAAGAACTGAATGCTCAGCTGCTGCCTGCTAATGCTGACACACAGAGGGGGCCTGGCAAGTCCACCCTGCCCACTGCCACCACTGCTGTGGTGGTTGTCCGTGCCCTGGCCCTCTGTCCTTCTGTGCACTGTGAGACCTGAGCTGATGACACCGGCGAGAGCATCACCTCCTGAAGTCACACAGCCCCTCCTGGCTGCAGCATCAGCTGAGTTAGGACTTGCCTTTCACTGGCCTCAAACTAATGGAGTTACTTTGCACTGATGCTGCTGCAAACAGACATTAGCTCTGCCCGTGCCACAGACACCACTGCAGACTCTGGTCCACGTGAGAGCAGTTTCATTACAATGGAAGGCATGAAAAGATAAATGCTGTAACAACCTTATCTCTACTCCTTCCACCACATGCATGCTCCCTTCCCCACAACACAGGATGTGCAACAATACACAGTCAAGGCTGTGCTGTTAAACAGTGCTCGTTCTTCTCAGCACCGCTGGTAATACATAACACAGCCCAGCCTGAGGAGTGCTCCTGGTATTGTTATTAATGTCCATGTCATAACTGCTTCCATAGGATTTCCATTACACCCAGGGATCACAGCGTGCAGAAGGTGCCAGGAGCTCAGCCCCGACTGCTTTCCCCCAGCAGGATGTCAGACCCAGCTCTGCCTTTGAATTACAAAGAGAGCAGAAGTTTCGCATTGTTTCAGTTAAGAGGGGGGATCACCAAAGGGTACAGACGAGAAATGAAAGCAAAGGGAACATTCCTATTGCTGGGAACACACATCTGCACCAGCCACATTAGGTACATTTACTCTCTCCTGCACTCGTGTCGTGCTTCAGACCTCACCTGCAGCATCAATTCAACCTCTGCCCCGTCCTGCTCAGCTCCTGTGGCAGCCCCTCAGGTCCTGCCATGTCCCACCCCTGTGCTCCCCACTCCCACCAACCCCCAGCTCCTGCAACCTGATGTCAATCACAGCTCTTTTAATGTGCTAACTTTCTAAATCCACACTTGTGCTTACTTAACAACAGGCTGCTTTGATCAGTGGAACACAAGCAGAACTAACCAACCTGAGCCCCTCACCTCCCTCCCTTCTCCTGATGCACCCCTCGCCAGGCCTCAGGCTTGTAAAACCAAAGCAATTGCAAGGCTTAATTTTATTTCCCTTATTTTCAGGCTACAAGGTGCTGGTTCTGATTAGGAATATTCCGAGCAGGAATAAAGCTCTTTTAAATAAAAACCATGTTGAGCTTTAAGGGGAAAATTGCACAACCCTATCAATTTAGAAGAAATGTCTTTTCAACCAGCAGTGTGGACAGGGCTCTGTTAAGCCAGGCAACGTGGGAAGCAGCTTTCCTTGTTAGTCACATTGCTTTTATGGTTTAGAGATCAGAAGAACATCATTTGTAGGCACAGAAAATGGACTTCACCTCGGGATTCCAGAGGACCACAGCTCCGAGTGCTTTGAGGAAAGGCAGTTTCAGGAGCACATCCAGAGGTAACTTCTGAGCCTCACAAAAGCAAAATGAGATTTCACATAGATTTCACTTGGGTAAATACGAAGTCACGAGCTTGATTTCAATAGAGTGCAACGGAGTATGTACTTCATAGCTTGGTAAAGCTGAAGCTGCTGCACTGGGGACAGCTCTAGAGCTGCCTCAGTCACAGAGGCTGATACAGTTATGTTAATCTGTGGTGCTGATCAAACAGGCTGGTGTTTGCAGTAGAGCTGCTCTGGACCGCTGCTGCTGGAAATGAAATCAAGTATGGCCCAGTGGCTGGATTTATACAGACCTAGCTAAAAACATCATCATGCCTTCAGAGCATGGCCCTGGCAGAGCTGAGCCCGCCAGCACAGCCCCCTGACCACTGGAAACAGACTCCACTAGAGGAGCATCACTTCTAAACAAGCTGCTGAGGTGTAATACATGGGGAACACATCCTGCCTACACGGGGCTTCGTGATACTGCACAGATTTTATGCTAGGGTCAGGGGAGAACTCAGGACCAACCATTTAATCCTATTCCTTTCAGGCATGAAATCTGCCAGCCCCAGCATCCTGATTGCCCTTTCCCTTTCAAAGCTGCTCCTGCCTACTCTGGGTAGCAGAACCTTATCTTTGTTTTCATCTGCCTGTCATTCTTGATTCTTACCCCTTTGGAGATGTGTGCTCTCCTCCTACCCCCACAGATCCTATGACCTCAAGGTCTCCCCCATTCAGTGCCAAAGTCATGTCAGAGCTGAGCTTCTGCTCCCCGAGGAGGAGTTGCTGGGACCTTGCACAGGTCAGGGTTCAGATTAAGTTAAAGCAGCAAGGTGGTAAAAGCTGGAGGAGGCTCTTGCAGGAGAGTTCATGGATGGCGGCTGTGCTGCAATACGAGGGGCTTGACTTGCAGTGTGCTGAAGCCAGCAGGAGGTGTTCTGAATGCACCAAATGCTTTATGTGGTTTGGTTTTTATTCATTATTTCTACCCTGGTTAGAAGTGAAATGGCTGTCTTAGGACTAAGGCTAACTGCTCAACAATAAGAGTATATACACCTTAAAGTGTGCTTTTCAAGACTGACAAGAGTGATCACAGTAAAAAGCTTTATAACCAGATTTAGGATGAAGAGTACACTTACCCCAGCACAGGAATTCATCCCTTCTAAGTGACTACCTCTGCTCTGGTAATAGCTATTATTACATTATTATTAGAGTGGGAAGAAGCTCATTCACAGACCAGGGCTCCACTGCGCTAACAGCTCACTAGGAAGAAGAGGCTGTTATCCCAAAGGGCTGGCAATCCATATACAGTTCTGAACCCTGCTGCTGGCCATGGCCTTAAAAACCTGCCTCTGGCACAGCCAGTTTCAAAGCCTTCTCCTCTCACTTGAATCTCAGCAGCCTAACACAATTTCATTAAGCAGATGCTAGACAGATAATGTGCCATCTTCACGAGAGGGGTGCCTCCCAAGTGCTTAGGAGTTTGCTGCATGACTCTGATGTCAACACTAAAACTTTGGCAGACATCAGAGGACTTTGCATCAAACCCTTCTCTTTCCCTAAGCCATGCTTCTGTTGTAATTACTGTTTTCCCTAGTCATTCTGTGATAGGTACAGGCAGCCTGGCAACACCTTCAGGGAAGCTTTGTGGGACTGAAATACACCATCACACGTGCTGAGTGTTAAGTCCGCCTGGACCTGGACCTCATTACTCCAAGTGCTGATCAAGCGCTGGCAAATCAAGCTGCCCCTGAGTGCTGAACACAAAAGTGCACCAGACCAGTGCAGTTGCATGCACTTCAAAATGCTGATTTATTGTCCCAAGATGTGAGCTGGTTTTATGCTATCAGCATTTTGTAGCTCAAAAGCTGTGGGTTTCTTTCCGGTACAGGGAAGGTCAGCATGCTCTGCAGTGACTGCGGGCTCCTCTCACTGGCAAGCCAAGCCAGGGCCCCAGATAGCCAAAGGCAGGTGCTCAGCTCTCAGCAGAGACCTGGCCCCTTTCCAGTGCTTCCAGGTGGCCAACCCCAAAAGTGAAGGCATCTTGAGACACGTCACTTTGAAAGCCGGTCCCCAGGACTGGCAAATCCCCTCTAAATCTGCCTTTGCTGTTGAGTACACGTGGGGCATCTGCCGAACCAGCCAATGCACTCCATGCTGAGGGGACATGGGCCCCGCGCTGCCAGGAGTGCTATTGTACCTCCCCTGGCAGTTGCTGCATTACTATGACAGCTGCAAACCCCGATGAGTGAATAACCTAATCGAGCCATTAAAAGAAACAGAAGCCCTCTGCCCTGTTTGATTTCTCTCTATAATGATGTAAAGTGCACTTTAATGGAGTCAAAGTGGTCCTGGGCCATTCTTGTTAAGGCCATTTGATGCAGTGCTATTGAGTCCCACTGCTAGCGTTCATTACCTCCCTTCAGCTCTCCCCTGCTGCATTGTAGTTCAGACTCCCCAGCACAGTTTCGCTGCTGCCACAGCCCCTTGCCTGCATTTTGTCTACATAAATTAGACCTTGTGCAGCATATTGGCCTGTCAGGGGACTAGGAAGAAACTGTATATTGTTTCTGGCATTCCCGGGCCCTTCTGCCCCTGACATCTGCTGTGTTTGTGACAGGGAATACATTCCTGACTCATTATCCGGGCAAGCGGAATCCCTCCCTGACAGCACCATTAATCAGAATCAAGCAGTCCAGCAAAGGCAAAAAAAGAAGAAGGGAAAGAGAAGAAGAAAAAGCAAGCGAAGAAAAAAGACAGTTCCTAACTTTCACTTCGGTGTCACTCCAGTGCCTGGACAAGTAGCAATCTATCTTTCTGAGTGACAGCTCTGATGGATGGCATTATTTATGCTTTTGTGTATTAAAAGACAGTTCTGGCACTGGCTTGTCACTCAGCAGAGCCTTGAAAAAAGTTGGAATTCAATTTGAAGGAAAAGAGGGCAAAGATCAGATGGTTCTGGCTAGGAAGTGGTGCCTGGAAGGGCCCAAGATTACAGTGGGAGGGAGGAACTGGAAGAGGTGTAGAAACGATGCATAAATCGTAACTGCCCTTGCAGGTACAGAGCTCTTCCCTGTGTATCTGCATTAGGATCTGCCTGGGCTGGAGAGGTCTGTTTGTTGACACAAACAGGTTTGATGTTCCTTGGAGGGATGCATCATTTGAGGGTGAGACAGGCATATGCTTAATTTTCTGTACATAATTTGTGCGTGTTTGTGTATACAAACATTTTTATGTATGCACATACATATGTGACTGCACGTGGGTGTTTCACAGCGTGTCTTTACATGCACATGTGTATTTACATCATTAATTTTAAATATAGGCTTTTTGTTCTAGCACACACATCTTCCAGATACGAAACACAGACCTAAATATCCATACACACATGAAGACAATCACACAGATACATCCCAAGATGAACAATACATCCATGTTTTGAATTTAGTCCTTTTAAAACGTGTTTACTTACCACACTGTGAGTGATTTTAAGTACAAACACAGGACAATATTCTTTAAACTGGAAGTGCCTGTACTTGTCTCAAGTTTTTGAGAAGAAATTGCATTTCACTTCATGTGGGAAGTGCAGTCTGACTGTTGGTCTGGTTTTACGTCTTTTTCTTTACCCACACACAAGCTACTTATCTGCTGAATGCAGAAACCCTGGTATGAAGATTTAGATGCTCCCACTTGCATTTGTAACATCTCCTACCTGTAGAAAAGGCTGGTAGCTGCATGTGAAATGCCAGGCTGAGGAGCTGTCACATACTGACCCATTTGTAAAGTCAGAATTCCAAGGAGTGTAAATGTGCATCTTTGTTGAACTGTGCTGATCCATGTGCTGGCAATGGAACCCAAAGGTGCTGATACAGCCTACACCACATCGTATGTAAATACCAGAACACGGTCAAAGTACCTTTGTATGGGGATATTTATGTATAATATCTACATTCTGTATGCCACAGTGGTGTAAGAGGAAACAAGCAGGCCGCATCCACTTCAAGAGCAAACAGATACATCTCTCTTAAAACTGTATTTGTATTTATGTCAGCAGAGAATTTGGCTCTACACACATTTGTTTCTGCAGGCCTGATGACAGGAAGAGCCTCTCAGGACCTGCTGCTACATGTCCTGAGTGAGCAGTGAAGACCTACCTGATCTGAAACCATAGTTAAATTATTAAAGCACAGTATATGAATAAGGCGTTCCAAGTTTAGGTGTCAACTTAAATGAAAAGCAGAACTCCTACCTGGAAAGATGGAATCTGTTCAGAGAGCTTGGCTCACAGATGGATGCACATCTCTTTCTTCTTCTGATGTACCCTGGGATTGAATGGGGGGAACTGCCTTTACGCTGCTATGCTGACTCCAGTGAGGGATGGAGATGCGCAGAGGTACCAGCACCACTCGCACAGGAGCATCTGCAGGAGTATCAGATCAAAAGAGGGTGGTTTGGTCATAGGTGGAACAAGGCTGCCAGCCTCTGTCTGCAGAAACATTCCCTTCATGTAGTGTCTGTTCAGCAGGCTGTGGCTGCCCATGAAATGCCATGCACAAGTTTCTAACCAACGGTGGTTTGGGTTTATGGGTGAGCTATTCAGAATTGATGCACATAGCTCCCTAGAGCCATGCAAGATGTTTCACTCTGCATTTCCAACAATGAACAACACATGGTTTGGACCTGAGAAAAGATGAAATAACAAGAAATATAGTTCCCATTATTTATAACATTTGCTTGCAGATGACCCATGCCTTGGCTATTTTGACAAACATCTGCTTTGGAACCCATCAGACAACACAGAGCATTTGCTTTTAATTAATACAAATTTGTTTCTTTCCCAAGCCCCAGCAGGTTTCAGTTCCCCTCTCCTGGACTATTGGCATCAGCAGCAGTCACCCTACCACACCTAGCAGATCTTGACAGCAACCGCTCTCGAGACTATAAATCCAAGGCAAAATCCCAAGGACTTCAGAAACTCCTGGAGTTCTTGGCTAAACCCAGGAATGGCACTGACTTGCAGGCCCAGCTGGATTGTTACTATCATCCTCTTGGATCCTTCTTTAGCTTCCTGAGGATAGTGGATCTCCTCTTCCCATCCACGGGGATTTTTTAACTTGGCCTCCTTACAAGACTTAGAAGTAACATCAGATTTCCAGTATACTGCCTGAGCACTACACATGGACAGACAGGGAACTGCTCCTACTCACAAGCACTTGAAAACCCACCAGCACAGGTTCACCCCACTGGTGCTCTGATGGAGATGCAGGTCACAGGCAGGCCTAGGACTGTACTGACTTCATCTGGAGCAGCTCCCTGAAGGGGTGACATCACAGCAATGCCAGGCAACAAGCTGTCCCCTCAGGGTGTGAAGCTCTGGAATCGACCTATTCTGTCAGGATCCACAGCTTAAATTTCAAAGTGAGATGCGTGTGCAATCCCCTCAGGCTCCTTTGAAATCCCAGCCGGTGTTTGGAGAAGGAACTGGTCATTTTTCTACTCCCAGGCTCACTGTGGTAGAGGCTGTGGATTGCCTTTTTGAATGCTGATACCCTTAAACTGAAATGGGCTGGGATGGACGGAGGCTGCAACAGCGGAGAAATATGCAGAGGGGTTTCTCTTTGCTGGCTTTCAGATGTGTAAGGTGATCAGTAACTGCTCCAGAAGGAAACACAGTAATAATCACTCCTAATGGCCAGGCACAGAAGAAAAGGAGAGTTTATCTTATTTGTCAGTCCCACTGTATCCATCTTCCTGGAATTACATAGTGAAATAAAGACATCCAAGACTACACCTCAGCTGGGGCAAATGGTGTACACTTTCATAGCTCCTGTGAAGGCAATTTATACCTGCTAAGGATCTGCCCCTTGATCTCCAAAGCCAAAGGAACATAAGCTTTTGTGTTTTAAGCATGGCGGCTGGAATGTTGAATTCTACTCTGTCGTCTGTCAGAACAGCAGGCAGAGGGGAGGAATGTGCTGGTGTCATATGGAAACCGCGGTTTGATGACGGACAAAATTAAATCCTTGCATTTGGACATAAACCATGGTAACACAAAATATGCAGCAAGTCAGGCTTGGTTTTCAGTACTGAAAACACAAGGCCCCACTTGGCAGGCTGAGGAGGGGATATTAGTCAGATTTAGACATGGTTTTCTTTGTTTTATTGAAGGATAAATAATTACGTGCTGAGATATTCCAGACACATGTTAGCAGAGCTGTGTGTGAACCACAGCAGAGGATGCTGTGAGAATAGGAAGGACTGAAGGTCCTTTAACCTAAAAAGGATCTGGGAATCCTGGAAAAGTTTGGGGGTTTACTTCTGGAAAACAGTCCCTAAGTTTCCTCAAAATATATCTCACATGCTAATCTCCATCCACTGAACCTTCCACGCATTTGCTTTCTTGACATCCTTAGGTTAACACTGATTCAGTATATACCACATGTCCCCAAAGCATCTGCTCAGCATTCCAGCTAAAGCTTTAGCTGGGGTTGCACTGGAAGCAGTTGGTTGAGCATAGCCCAGGGGATCTGGGAACAGAGGCACTCCATGCTTGCACTGTAACAGCACCTCCTCTTCTAATGCTTTTCCCAAGTTGGAAGTCCAGAGAAGGCCACATGGGCAAGTAGGAAACAGAGGGTGCGCTCCCCTCAGGCCAGTTTTGAGTCACATAAAGACCTTATGGGGAAGTTTCATTATGACTGGGTAGCATTTCTTATTTAATGCAAAGAAATGTCTGTGGAAGTGCAGCAGATAAAAACAACACTTTTCTAAGTGCAAGAATCCTAACACCAATTTACTGGATATACCCAAATCTGCTGAACAGCTCAAAGTGATACTCAGCAAATGGATGCTCTGCCTCCCACTCACTGTTTGTTTCATAATCTCCCAAGGGGTCCTGCTATTTTCTGGTTTAAAAGGAACCCCTATGTAAAAACTGCCTGCCATAGAGGATCAAAGGTATTACAGCTCTGTCTCATTGCCACCATCCTGTTTTTATTTACACTGTAACACCCTGAAGGCAGAGACCCTCTTTCTGTCCTGGTTTTGTATCGTGCCTCGCTCAGTGGAGACCTGACCTGGCCTCTGGTTGCTACCTGTGCTGTCGGAGCGAATAACCAGGATAGTCAGCAGAGCAGCTTGAAACAGGGGCTGTGATCATTCCCAGAGGCAATGGGTGCTCAAAGTCATTAGCTGCCCTAGCAGAACCTGTGCAGACAGCCACCACAAAGTGTGATGGACTGTCTTACCAGAGACACTTGGAAATAAACAGGATTCATGGAGTTGTGGGGCCACTCCTCTGTGGTGGCACAGGCCTTATGGTCCACCTGAACAGCACTGTCTTCACTGCCCTGGTGCTGCAGTGTATAAACTGCTTCTTTCCCAATATCTCCATCCCAACTGACGTTTCTCGACATGATTTATGACACTTTGTGCTGTGAATTCTGCATTTCTGTTGCCTGCCAGAACTAATGAAGCATGAAGAGACCTGACAATATTGACTGGTTGTAGTCATTCATGTTTCTCTTTCCTGGTCCTTTGCTACCAAAAAACCTTAAAAAGAGAAACGTGGAAGGTGAAAGCCACAATTCACTGATGAGGTTCTGGAACTGCCTTTCTCCAGTAAAAAAAGTCTGCTTTGGTGCCTGCCCTCTAGCACTGAGTCCTGATCTCACCACCCCCAGGATGCTGCTTTCCATCTTGCACTGTCCTGATGCATTTACAAGTGTAAAATGGAACTTGCAAATCACTTTTTGGAACAGGTAAGGGACATAAATGTCAGCAGAGCAGAGTGAGCTTACGGAGAGATGAAATCAAGCTGAGGAGCAGAGATCCGTGGAGCTGGATTTCACATTTCACTGACGCTCCTGGTCCAGAGGTTTGCTCATTAACAAGGCCATGATTCTGTTACTGAGACTCATGGTAAGTGGTTCCTCAGGCAAAGATCCAGCAAAGCACTTAGGCAAATTCATAAATTTATGTCCCATTGACTTCTGTGCAACTATTTATATGCTCAAAGTCATGCATGTCTTAAATGCATTTCCAGAGCAGGCCTGGGACTCAACAGTCTTTCTGCAGCATCGTAAGCCCCAGGCTTTGAAAACTCATGAGTTCCAGCTCTCCTTTCCCCAGAGCTACCACACTGCAATGCAGAATGCACCTTCAGAAGATGCAGCCCCTCCTGTGGTGTTCATATTCTGGGGGAAGGCCTGTCTGTTCCCAGGTCACCCCTTCCCATCTTCCATGACCAGTTTTCATTCTACTGGCCTGATGGGGAAATACCTGGTGCAAACCTCAGCAAGGAAATCAGGCTCATTTGGCTGAGGATTAAGCACTCCAGTGCTGGCTTTCATAAAGCAGACAAAGAGATGAAATGCACGTTGAGGTTCCAAACTGATCATACTCATAAGCCCTTGAATATGTTCCCCAAGTCTGAAAGGATGCCCAAGCAAGTCTCATTTTCATCAGCCCTGTCTGTTAGCACCCAGCCAGTACACTTTATAAAGAGCCTAAAGAGACAAGGTATTATAAAGATCATGCAGCCCAGGCAAGCACAGAAGTGATTTAAAACATTCTAATCTCATTAATCTGTTTCTTCTCCCTAAAGATGTTCAAAAACCCAGGCCAGAGCCATAGCTGGCAAGCCAAGTAGGAAAGCACTTAAATAAGACCTTAAATTTAAGCTCATGCTTAAATTCTATTTACCACAAAGTTCATTTCAAGATAAACTCATGTTAAACCAGTATTTCTAAGAAAAACAGAAACTCACCTGAGCCAGAGCCTTTGCAATATCAACAGAGCTAATCTGTAGTAGATGAAGCTTTTCTGCTTCAGGACTTCCTTCCCACCCTTCTGAGCCTCTTCCATCCAGCAAAAGGAGTAGGAATTGTGGCTTTGGTGGCTGGTCTTAGCAAAGCAATTCTACTTGGACCGTGCATATTCAGCTACCTGCTGGGAAAAACCCCAGTGAACCAGTCTGTCCCCAAACTGCAATGCAAACAAACAAATGGCTATAATAAATACAGAAATGAACCGAAATCTGATGCACTTGTTCACAGCCCCAAAAGTCAGACCCTTTTTCTTGATCCTTTTTCCCCCCTGCAGTTACTCAGGTATTGCAAGTGCTGCACTGGGTTTGGGTATTGTAAGGATTCATTCGTGCAGGTTTGCTTACAGCTCTGAAAATCACACAGTGTACATCTGTACAGTGTTATCACTTACCCTAAGTGTATTTTTACTATTACCTAAGTTACTATCACAGGCACCTAAGTCTGGTAGCCAGTATTTGGGTATTTACTGTCATAGGAAGACACCTGACTGGCAGTTGCCATTCTCCTATGGAGTGGGTATGTTTGAACACACTTGAGCCTTTCTTTTACCCCACTCCACTGCTAGGGACTATTCCTATACTCCAGGGGAAGCCAGTAACCTCTATAGGGGAACCAGGTCACCAGTCAGATACTCATTTTGTGGAAGCTGTCAATCTTTCACTGTGTACTTTGCCACTCCTAACTTACTACTCACATCATGACCCTGCTTAACGTCCCTAAGCCTCATACATGTGAAGAAACCATTACAAGTGTTTGTAATGGTAAGTAACACCCAGCCACAGTTGTAATTGGAGGTACTATGTGCATGCCAAACGTTGCATTAGTATTATTATTGCTATTGACAGTATAAATGGCAGCACCATAATGGGACAACAGCATCAGGTCTCAGGGAGGCAGAGGGTAAGGAGACATTAATATGTGCAGTCAACTTGCATCTTGCACTATGAGAGTGTGCTGGTATGAGTGGTTCTGACACCTAGAACATAAACCAGATGGCCCCTTTCTTACGCCATATCATGCAAAAAGAGATTTGAATTAATTCATGTAGAAATCATGACAATTCTGTTACTGTTGGAACTCAGTACAGCGGACAGGGTGGCAGGAGATTATGCTGAATTTTTAACTTATAAAATACTAGTGACAGATGCCACTGCCTCCACTCCTTTGTTGCTTCCCATCTTTCCTCCATCCCCTCGTGCCCTTGTGTCCCTTCTCCAGAGCAGTAACTCTGCACTACATTGCTTCAAAGCTTATTGACATCAAATTCCGGGCCAAACTTTCTCCAAGTAAAGAGAAATCCATCAACCCCCAAAGGGTCTGCCTGAACCGGGGAGATGCTGCGGAAAGGAGATTTCATTTTGCAGTGAACTCCACTCCAGAGCCCTACTCGAAATTCCATCCAAAATTAATAAAACACCCCTGGCCATGGGGATTGATGACCTAAGCAAGCAACAGTGCCTTCCACAAAGGGTTTGCACCCTGAATAGCTACGTGGGAGAAAGGAACATTATCATCTGCACTGCATGAGGCTGAGGCACCAGAGTACTGGGCTTTGCCCAGGGTCACTCTGCCCTGGTCCCCCCCAGTGTCTGTGCTCCATAAGACACTCCTTGCTCCCGCTCCAGGGATGGGTTCCCACAGGCACCCATCAGCAAGGTGCGGGGTGTCCCTGGGAGCAGGAACAGCTTCTACCCAGGGCCAGAGTGCATCATCCCTAGGGCTTACACTGCTGTAAGGAGATCCCGGGCTGCTCCCTGCTCCCTGCACTTCACACAAGCCTCCTCGCTTCCATGTTTCAGCGCCTTCTCCCCACAGCACGTCTCCTGCCGACACACCCCTGTCAGCTCCTCCATTGTGCGCCCAGCAGCATCTTTCAGCACATGAGCCTCAGCCAACATGGCTTAAACACATCGACTGGGGTGGGAGGAGCAGGAGGGAAGCCTCCAGCACCAGGGTGGGGGGTGTTTGCAGGGAGGGGGGGGGTGTCCTTTCTGCCATACAAAAGCACAAGCGGGTTTGTTGGCGCTGGCAGAGGCCGGCTGTGTTGAAGCTCCCTTTCATCAGTGGGTATTAGGCCCAAATCGCTGCCTCTTTGAATATGTACACAGCGCTTTCCATCTCCTGTCACCGGGATGACAGATCTGCCAGGCTCCTCCGGGGCCTGGCACCTGGGGCGCGCAGCAAAGCGGCTTTGCAGCTCCAAGCACACACAGCTTTTTGCCTTCTTCCCCCCCCCTTTCCCTTCTTCTTTTTTCCATTGGGGAACTTTCTCCCCCGCCTTCCCTCTCTTCCCCCCCCTTTCCCCAACCTGAATGAACACTTCTTTCAGTAATGGGTTTTTTCCACCTGGTTGACTTGATGAAAGGTTTATGAGTTGACATTATGTGTGAGGAGAACAAAGCGAGCGCGGGGATGTGCGTGCGCGGGCTCCACGGAGCCGCTGAAAACTTTATTACAAACTCAGAGACGTTGGAGGCAATAAATCAGGGGGATGCTCTCTACAAACCAGCACAAAACAATGAGAGCACGCAGGGCTGCGCTGGTCACCAGCAGCTCCAGGTGCACTGGGAGAGGGCAGAGGGGAAAGCTGCTGGGAAGCCACCCCTCAAAGGTCCTGCTTCCCCACGGCCTCCAGAGTCCCTACCTTGAAATCACAGTTATAGAAGCAACAGCTCCAAAGGGGGTTTCCAGAGGCATGAAGTGATGTTCAAGCGCCTGCTGAGGGTGAACATCAGTAGGTTTAAGTAGGGAGAGCTTCCCTGTATCCATTCACCCCTACTCTGGAATTCTGTGCCTGGTCCATCCCCGCAGTTCACTGTTTGCTCAGACTGTGCCTCTCCCAAGGTGAAAGTCTGCAGCTACTATTTACCAACACACAGAGGAACAACAACAGCTTGCTGTGAGCGGTTCAAAAATACCATACCTAAACCAACCAAACAAGGGAATTTCAGCTGTTGTTTGTTAGGAAACCCCAGTTACCGGGCTTATGGTGATGAAAAGCACCTTTAGAAACACAAAATGATTTTTACTTTGCATTACAGAGAAAGGTAGAAAGGACCTGAGCTGCTACCAGCTGAGCCTGCAAAACAACCAGGAGGTGTGTTGTCACGTCAGCTTAAAGGCAAGGCTTGGTAGCTGAGACATGGCACGAACACGGCAGGAACACGGCACGAACACAGCACATTCATGGCACTGCTTCCAGCTCAGCCCTTCACTTGCCCTCCACCACTTGGTACCGACACGTCCAGCAGGTTGGAGGTTCCAGTGAGGGAAATGACAGCAGGGTTCCTACAACATCAGAGGCTGCTCAGTGAGAGCCATGCAGCACTCTCCTGGCTCTGTTATATTGGAAGTACTTCAGTTCATCCCTTTGTCTTAAGGCATCGGCCTTAGTTCTGCTGCTCTGATTTCGACCTGTGTTTATCAGCACTGTCTCCATTGAGGTGAAGAGTTTCTCAGGAGGAGCAGGTAACAGCTTTCCCTGACTAAGCTGACTAAAGTGCTCAGAGGATAAGCGTGATGTGAAAAGCAGACCAGGTCCCACCGCATGAGAACCTCTGACCCATACAACTGCTACGGGTCACGCAACCCCAGTGCTATTTCTCCTTAGCAATCCCGTGCTGTACACAAAGGCAAACATGGTTCTATTTTAAACTCTAATCCAAGGCTACTGCGTGCCTTTTGGAGTGCGGATGTCCTGGAAATGTCACTGCAGAGCAGTGTGCTCAAGAGATTAGAGCCGTTCCAGTTTGCAAATGACAGAGTACAGTCACAGATGTTACTCTAGCCATGGGGTCAGGCACAGTTGCTCAGGCTTAACTTGTTGAATTGCATTAATAAAAAGGAGAAGGGGCAATACTGAAAGATGCTGAGCAGCTGTAACTTTGCCCAGGTTAGGATTTCTAAGGCTTTTATCTCAGAGAAATAAACGTCCTTTCCCCCATAACAACCATGACAAGCTTTAGAGATGACTCTAATGGATGATTCCTCAGACACTCTTGTTATGGGCCAACCCAACCCTCCTGCAAACACCTCTGCAATGAAGGTGACGGTCATGAGGCTCACAGTTAAAGGTTGTGACTCAAGTTCCCAGGCAAAAAATAACATGGCCACAACGTGCTTGAGGCCTGTGGGCCTGGTTCTCCCATCAGAACCCATTTACACTTGAGCACTTAACACTGAGCAGGGAGCAGAGCCTGCAGACTGGAAGGAAACCAGGCTGTGTTAATAATATTTCCAGAAGAGGTTAATACTATGGGATGCTTCTATTTTTACGTACCTAATTTGAGAGCTCCTGATTTGCAGATAGTGAGAACTGAGCAGCTTTTACATTTTTAGAAAACCAGGTGCTTTTAAGATGTACCTTTAAATTCAAACCCCATTTTAAACCACCACTGAGAATCTTGGCTGGTTTATAGTAATGCTGCTAGGCACTTGCTCTGAAAAACAGCCTGAGCTCTGTCCTAGATCAGCATGTAGTGACACGCATCACTCACACTAATGGACTACTTCTAGCTGTGTTGGGGGAGAGGGAAAGGGAAGGGCTGGGAGGAAATGCCAAGATGCACTGAAAAACACCCCAAAATAAAGATCAGGTGCAAGAGCAGCCCCAGCCTGCATGCTCGGTGTTCATCATTTGCTCTGTGGCTCATCTGCTCCACACTTCTGCACTATGAGCAATGCTGGTGCTCTATAAAAAGCATAGACAAGCTTGACTCTAGAGCTAGCACTGTACTAGTGGGGGTTCTGCTCCCTGCTGCCCAGGGCAGGGGGAACCCATCACCTCCTTGGGGCCTGCAGCTGCCTGAGGAAAGCTGGGGAGAGGAAAAGCCATGAACTACCTGGTTATTTACATCTGAGCCAAGCACCTGAGCCAAACACTGCTCTATCAAACTAACCTCAGTCAGATGCACTGAACTTAGGAGGGAAGCTTGGGTGGAAAATGAGAGGCATTTATTTCTGCTGCCTGAAAAGCAGTAGGCACACTTTCCATTTTCTCGTTCCAGCTACAGCTGAAGAGGTAACACAACAATCAGAGCTACTTTATGGTACGTCTAATGGAGCAGAGAAAGAGCTTCATTGGGGAGACCAGGAATGCAGAAGACACAGGCATACTATGGATAGAAAAAGCAGGACACTCTCCATTTCCTCCCTAAGCACTTCTCACAGGGCTTATGCCCTCACAAACTGCCCAGCACTGATATCTCTCTTCTTCAAGGTGTTAATGAATTAAGACACAGTTTTGAGCAAGTATTTTGGGGATTATTCTGGTTTGACCGTATGACTTCACTGGCATTGAATTTTCAGTGTTTTATTGTATGCTATCTGTGAAATCCTTCTGCAACAGGAACATCATTGTAGCATCTGCTTTTCTCTCTCTATTCTAAATGTTGGAACATCCTAGTACAGAGTCTCCCCCCCAGCCATCACTGTTCTGATCAGCAGTTCTGCTCTGGCTCACGGGGCAATTTCCTGCAGTAATTCATCCCCCTCTCCACATCAGGGTTTTGCTGGAGTCACCATCTCTTGGCACAGCAATGATGTCTGATGGCTGGCGACGATCCTGAAGAGAGATGTGATCACTTTATCCAGACCACTCTGCCAAAAAGGAGTCCTGTTCTACAGTGTGACAGAGCTGAAGTCAAGACTTGCAACGTGTCCCTTGCATCCCAAAGAGCAAGGCTTATACCCTGCCAAGCTCTTGATTATGAAAGCTGATTTTTCAGTCTCAGGCCTGCTTTTTCTCTTCCTTGGTAGCAAATCTGATCCATGCACTTGCTGACTAATGCTAACAAATCAGGGCAATTGCTGCTTACTGGAATCACCTTTCAATGGGGAGCTGACAGCAAGAACAATGCATCTGTTTGCAGCCTGCAGAGGCTGCGGGGAGCATCTGTCATCAGAGCAGCTACTTGTCAAAAGAGGTTTCAGGCTCTGGCTGATTCTCAATACAGGGAAAAAGAGGCATGTACAGACCTAGAGCTGGACTGGTGTTTTGTACTGGTGGTGCTTTCATCTTCCCCTTTCTTTGCTTCTACAGATGACTTTGTTCTATCAGACGTGGCTTTTAATTACAAGAGTTCTCTGTGCCATTAGTGGTTTAACTGAAGGGAAATGGAACCATATAAATAGCAGCGTTTTGCTATTCTCTGTTTATACTAAGCTGGGTTTCCCTTTTGATATTTATTGAGGGAGACGTGGACCTGTTTGAAGATTCAGTTCCACTAGTTAAGATTTTACTGGAGGAAGGAATTCAGCCACTGAAATTGCCATAGGCAGCATTGCAACTAGTTGGGTAGGAAAGCAAGCAGCAACCACTGCTTAGGCAAGACAGATGACATCAAACAGGCATTGCAGCAGGGGATTTTTAGCAGTCAGTAAATTATCCGTGTGCGAAGTAATAAAGGAAGTGTAATAATGCCTTATTGTTATATGGGCACCTTTCATCCTGAAGGATCGTAGTTTACAAGCTGGAGATCTCTCTCAACACTAGAGCTGGTGCTCTGTTCTGTCTTGCAGGGCTGAAGAATCAGTTACTATTTCAGTCTTAAGCTGATGAAGACATTACACTTCGGAGAATATTGTTAACGAAAAACATACCTGGAAAACTAACATTGGAAAAAGTCACTTTTGATATACTCTTCGCAAGAAATACATTTTTGTTTTCATGGAGAAAGTTCTATTTTTGTTTGAAAATGAAAGCAATTAGTCATAGGGAAAGCTGAGGGACAGCTTTACATCATAGGTGGCAGTTCCTGGTCAGCAGTGAGCTGAGGCCTGTGAGAACTCAGACAAGTTGAATCTATAAGCAGCAGCATCGAGGATAAAGAGGGGGAGACCAATGGCATAACACAGTGCTCAAAATGAGAAGACAAGGAGAATACTGGGCAAGCCCCTAACAGAAAACTCTTCAGCCTGATTCAAAGTGGCATCAATTCTCTGCAGAGACAAAAATCCCAGGTTTTAACAGCTTATTCAAATGGAAACCTACGGAGCAAAGTGCTTGATCCCTAACACCTCGCTGGAAACCGGGAAGTGCTGAGTTAGCGCTCCTGGAAACGGAGAGTGCCATTGTAGGGAATGTGAATTACTTCACACCAGGATCTGGATCAAAAAGGTAAGATGCCACGGAACCTGCTGGCTCCCAAAGCGACTCGCAGCGTATGTGTCAAGTCCAAGAAGTGCTGAGCAAGGAATTACAAATGCTTCTCAGCTCTTCCTACACAGCACTTGCAAGGGTATGAAAGCAAGGGCTGGTGGCTGTCCTCAGCCGTGCCTCTTTGGCAGGGCATTGCTTCCTTCCACAAGGATATATAATTTGGAAATACATGTTCATGGGCAAGGTTGACCAAATTAAGCAGGAATTGCACATGCTCCATTGCATCTTAGGTGATGTGGATCCACAGAGAGGTAACTGACCCCAGTGCAGGAGGGGATTTTCAGGCTCTCATCTGCCTTCTGGAAAAGGCCTCCTGGCAGGGAGATTGCTTCATCAGAAAGCAACTGAGTGTTTTAACTTCAGTTCTGTCTTCTGCTAGGCAGAGGCTTATAAGTGCACCCAGAACTAAGAATGCCAGGATGCAAACTACAATTACAGTTACATTATAAAGGGTGAGACCATGAAAAGATGGGAAAGAGTTGGTGCCTATTGCTTGGGTTAAGGCTATGCAGGCACCACCAGAAAATCCTTTCACTGTAGGGAGTATTGCTTGTTCTCATGGTAGCACACCCTCCCAGAGAACGCTGCGTGCTGGAGCCTGTCAGAAAGGAGCAGGGCAAAATGGGTAAATGTAGTCTCTACTGTATGTTGTCCAGTTTCATCTTGGCTACCTCTAATGCTCACAAGCAGAGTTAGGCTGCAACATGAGAAAGTAAAACCTAGAGTTTAATAGAAAGCAACAGACACAGACAAACAGCCATCAC